TGCTAGAGAGGATGTGGAGAGAGGGGAACACTCCTCCACTGCTGGTGCGAGTGCCAACTTGTACACCCACTTTGGAAAGCAGTATAGAGATTCCTCAGGAAAATGGGAATCAATCTACCACAAGACCCAGCAATTCCACTGTTAGGCATATATCTAAAAGAGGCAAATTCATACAACAAGGACATCTGCTCCACTATGTTCATAGCAGCATTATTGTAATAGCCAGAACCTGGAGGCAACATAGCTGCCCCTCAACTGAAGAGTGGATAGGGAAAATATGGTACATCTACACAATGGAGTACTACTCAGCAGAAAAAAAAACAATGGGATCTTGAAATTCGCAGGTAAATAAATGGATGGCACTAGAAGAAACCATCTTGAGTGAGGTAACCCAATCACAAAAGGACAAACATGGTATGTAGTCACTCATATATGGATTTTAGACATGGATCAGGAAAGTGCCAGTCTGCACTTCCACTGACAGAGAGTCTGGGCAACAGGAAAGAACCTAAGAGATATGCATGGTACCCCAGAGAAGAGGAATGAGGCAAGATCTTCTGAACAGATGGGGAACACGGTGAGGGGTGGGGGGGAGTGGGAACTGGGAAGAAGAGAGGGGGAGAAGAGGAAGAGAGAGGAGGTCATGGGGTAACAGGAAGGTTGAGGGGGGCATAGAATAGGGGGAAGAGGGAATCATAGGTTAGAAGACAGATCAAGCACCAGTGTGACCTCTAGTGATCTAAAGGGATGACACCAACTGGCAAGCTAAGCAATAATGGAGAGACCACCTCGAATGCCCATTCCTGATAATGAACTTGATGTCCATAACCATCCTGGAGCCTTCATCCAGTGACTGATGGAAGCAGAGGCAAACACCCACAGTTAAACACTGAACTGAACCCATGGAACCCAATGACAGAGAGAGAGGAACGATGAGCAAATTGACAAAGAATGGGCTGGCGGAACCAGCAGAGACAGGGGAGAGACTTGGACCCCAGACTGACAGCTGGGAGGCCAGCATGGGACTGATCCAGACCCTCTGAGTGTGAGAGTCAGTGAGGAGGCCTGGGCAACCTATGGGGTCCTGGGCAGTGGATCAGTGTTTATCCCTGGCATACAGACATCGTGTGTCCTTAACACAAAGAGGGATCCTCTCTCAGCCTGGAATCTTAGGGGGGGTGCCTGGACCCTGCCCTGAGTGAAATGACAGACTCTAGATATCTCCTATGTGGAAGGAAATGGCGATAGGGTGGGAGGCTGGGGGGAATGGTGGGAGGGTGCGGGAGGAGGGGAGGGAGAGGGAACTGGGATTGACATGTAAAACAAACTATTTAAAATTAAAATTAAAAAATTTAAAAAGAAAGCATCCGGGCGTTGGTGGTGCACTCCTTTAATCCTAGCACTCAGGAGGCAGAGGCAGGCAGATCCCTGTGAGTTCGAAGCCAGCCTGGTCTACAGAGCGAGTTCCAGGACAGCTTCCAAAACAATACAGAGAAACCCTGTTTCGAAAAAAAAAAGTACATAAAAGCAAAGATTAAACCTTGGACCTTTTGCATGATGAACTAACTAGAAAACCTCTAAGAGAACTTTAGCTAGAAACCCTGAAGCCAAACGAGCTACCTAAAAGCAATGTTGTGAATGAACCTGTCTATGTACCAATATAGTGGAAAGACTTCTAGGTAGAGGTGAAAAGCCTAATGAGCTTGGTGATAGTTGGTTACCCAATAAAGAATTTCAGTTCAACTTTAAGCCAGCCATAAGAAGTTATAATCTAAATATAAGCTTAAAATAAAGCCTAAAGAAGGACAGCTCTTTAGGAATGGAAATAACCTCAAATAGTGAATAAGATAATAAACAAGAAACCATAGTTGGCTTAAAAGCAGCCACCAATAAAGAAGGCATTCAAGCTCAACATCCAAAGACCACTAATACCTAAAATCATATAGTCGTAATTGGGTTAATCTATTTTTATATAGATGAGATACTGTTAGTATGAGTAATAAGAATTACATTCTCCATGCACAAGCCTATAATAACCCGGATAACCATTGTTAGTTAACGTCCATACAAGTACATTAGCCCCCTATAAAAAGTATTTGCTATATAATGTTAGTTCAACACAGGTATGCTCAAAGGAAAGATTAAAAAATTAAAAGGAACTCAGCAAACATGAATCCTGCCTATTTACCAAAAACATAACCTTTAGCATTACAAGTATTCGAGGCAATGCCTGTCTGGTTACTGAGTTAAACAGCTGCAGTATCCTGACCGTGCAAAGGTAGCATAATCACTTGTTCCTTAATTAGGGACTAGAATGAATGACTAAACGAGGATTCAACTGTCTCTTATTTCTAATCAGTGAAACTGACCTCACCTTGAAGAGGCGGGAATACAACAATAAGACAAGAAGACCGTATGGAGCTTTAATCTCATAATTAGTTTTTACAACAAATAACCTACTGGCTATAAAACATTAAAACATAAATTACAGATTTCGGTTGGGGTGACCTCAGAGAATAAGAAAACCTCCGAATAAGCCGAAGCACCTATGGTCTCATTGACCCAAAACATATTTGATCAACAGACCAAATTACCCTAGGGATAACAGCGCAATCCTATTCAAGAGTTCATATTGACAATTAGGCCTTACGATCTCAGTGTTGGATCAGAGCATCCCAATGGTGCAATAGCTATTGAAGGTTCGTTTGTTCAACGGTTAAAGTCCTACGTGATCTGAGTTCAGACCGGAGTAATCCAAGTTGGTTTGTATCTATTGATGATTTCTCCCAGTATGAAAGGTCAAGAGAAATAGAGCCTCCTTAGCATAAGTGCCCCTAAACAATTAATGAAACTGTCTCAATATAGTAAATCCATACCAACCTGCCTAGACAAGGGTGCCTTATGGTGGCAGAGCCCGGAAATTGAGTAAGACTTAAGGCCTTGTTCTCAGAGGTTCAAATCCTCTCCCTAATATTCTAGTTAATATTCTCATACTCTTAGTTCCAATTTTAATAGTTATAGCCTTCCTCACATTAGTAGAACAAAAAATCTTAGGCTATATACAACTATGAAAAGGTCCTAATATTGTAGGGCTATACGGGGTCCTCCAACCATTCGCTGATGCAAAAAACCTACTTATTAAAGAACCCTTACACCCTCTAGCTGCCTCAACATCTCTATTTATTATTGCTCCAGTATTATCACTCACACTGGCATTCAGCTTATGAATCCCTCTTCCTAGACCTCATCCACTAATTAACATAAATATAGGAGTCCTATTTATTTTAGCCGCCTCAAGCCTATCTGTCTACTCAATCCTATGGTCAGACTGAGCACCCAACTCAAAATATTCCATATTTGATTCCCTACGAGCAGTCCCACAAACAATCTCATATGAAGCAATTATCTTACTATCGGTCCTTCTTATAAGCGGCTCGTTCTCACTCCAATACCTTATCACCACATAAGAACCTGTATGACTCCTACTAGCATCCTGGCCATTAGTCATGATATGGTTCATTTCTACTCTTGCCGAAAATAACCGGGCCCCATTCAATCTGACAGAAGGAGAGTCTGAACTAGTTTCAGGCTTTCATGTAGAATATGCCACAGGACCATTCACATTATTCTTCATAGCCGAATATACCAACATTATCTTAATAAATGCCCTATTGACTATTGTATTCTTAGGACTCCTACACGAGCCGTACAATCCGGAAATCTGTACTATCAATTTCATAATCAAACATTAATCCTAACTTCCCTATTCCTATGAATTCGAGCATCTTACCCACGATTTTGCCATGACCAGCTAATAACCTTCTATGGAAAAACTTTCTACCACTAACACTAGCCCTATGCACTTGACTCGTCTCAATTCCAATTTTTATAACAAGCATTCCTCCCTACACCTAGAAATATGTCTGACAAGAGAGTTACTTTGATAGAGTAAATCATAGAGGTTTAAATCCTCTTTTTCTAGAATGATAGGAATTGAACCTACATCTTAGAATTCAAAATTCTACGTACTACCTATGTACTACATTCTACTACAGTAAGGTCAGCTAACTAAGCTATCAGGCCCATACCCTGACAATGTAGATTTAAATCCCTCCCTACTAATTAACCCTATCACCCTTCTTATTATCTATTTCACTATTTTCTCAGGCCCAATAGTCACAATACTCAGCACCAACCTCTTTCTTATATGAATCGGTCTAGAAATAAACCTGTTAGCCATCATCCCTATTATAGCTAACAAACCTAGCCCATGAACTACAGAAGCAGCAACAAAATACTTCATTACTCAAGCCACAGCCTCAATAATCTTTCTACTCTCTATTCTTCTTCTTCTTTTTTTTTTTTTTTTTTTTTTTTTTGAGGCTGTCCTGAAACTCGCTCTGTAGACCAGGCTGGCCTTGAACTCACAGAGATCCGCCTGCCTCTGCCTCCCGAGTGCTGGGATTAAAGGCTTGTGCTACCAATGCCTGGCTATTATTCTAAACTATAAACAATTAGGAACATGAGTCATTCAGCCCCAAAATGACAGGCTAATTACTACACTAATATTTATCTCGTTAGCAATCAAGCTAGGCTTATCACCTTTCCACTCCTGAGTGCCAGTTGTCCCTGGCCAGAGGAATCCCTGCTCTAAGGTCCATAGCAGCGCTGCCCAGGCTGAGCCTTTAGAAGTGCCCCTCACTGCCCTGGGCTTAGCCTGGGCTGCCCCGGGCTCCCTTGCTACTATAACCACCAAGCCTTTGCTTGTTCTCCTTTCCCATGAACCTTTGCACTTCACTCACATCCCCGGTGAGCAGAGGGGTTTCCTGAAGTCCACCTTCTGCATTTGCTTCTACTGCCCTGTCTATCTGCATCTCCCCTGGGAGTCCCACCCATCTTTCAAGTTCAGATCTAGCCTTCCTCAGCCTTCAGCTGAGGAAGTTCCCTATTCATCCAGTTGCACCACACAGGCAAGGACTTGGTCTTCTCAGAGACTGACATCCTCCTTCTTGAAATACGCAAAATTGAGACGTCATCAAGGAAGTGAATGAAAGACCTGAAGGAAACTCAAGCTGACCTTCAAGTTCGTGCAGCGGGTTGGCGTCTGTCACCACCACGGGCAGAAGAGGAGACAGGACCATGTGGCTGCTCCCTGCTCTGCTCCTCTTCCTCCCAGGTAAGTAGCTGGGACTTTAGGACATCACAGTGTCAGCGGTGAGGGAGGACATGGACATTCAGCCCTGGGTTGGGGAAAACAGGAAGGACGAATTCATTCACCAAATGCTTACTCCTAAATAAAAAGCAAGACTTTGGCATCTGGTGGATCCTATGAGTGCCACAGAAAAAAACAAAAACAAAACCAACTTTTAAAAAAGTCTTCCAGAATGTGTTTCTCAATTCTGATTGCTACACAAAGGTAGATGAGAGAATTGATAACTAATTATTTAAAAAATATCCTTATAGCGCTGGGCGGTGGTGGCGCACGCCTTTACTCCCAGCACTCGGGAGGCAGAGGCAGGCGGATCTCTGTGAGTTTGAGGCCAGGCTGGACTGACAGCCTCCAAAATAATACAGAGAAACCCTCTCTCGTAAAACCAAAAAAAATATCCTTATAGCTTTATATTTGGCACTTTTGGGATAGGCTCTCATGCAGCCTAGGTTGACCCTGAACTTCTGATCCTCTGGCCTCCACCCTCTAGTGCTGGGATTTCTAGCATTTCCAGTTACATTCTGATTTCTAATTGACACAATTGAACATATTTATAGAGGCTGGATGTGGTAGTAAATGTCTTAATGTCAGAACTCTAAAGCAGAGGTAGTGGACCTCTGTGAGTTCAAGGACAGCCTGGTGTAAATGGGGAGACCTTTGTCCAAAAGTAAAAAGAAACCGGTAGGTACAATGTGGTATCTGCATGTGTATTACAGGATCTGAAGGTCACATCAGGGTAGCTGGTCTTTCACCACAGGCATCTGTCATTTCCTTGCACTAGAAGCATCTGAAATCTTCTCTATGAGGTCTCTTTGAATATTGAATTGCCAACCGTATTTCCCAGCTGCATTGTACAACACTGGAAGTGTCACTTTCATCAAATGACACCTCTGTGTCCTAAGCAGTGTCCCTCCACCCTTTCTCCCCGTCACTGCTTCTCTGAGGTTAACTCCCGTTCTTTATGAAAAACTATGTGTCTGTGAGGAGTATGCAAATTGACAAAAAGGTAACCAACACAGGCTATATCCTGTGCAGTTGCTGTGTTATGTGGCAGGTCTATGTCTTTCTGAGGAACTTCCAGAATGTGTACACTCATGTCTAATTTACATTCCAGCCCGCAGTGTGTCAGACTTCCCTGACCCACACACACATCTACAGTTGCCATATTTTATCTGTGTGGTAATAGCCATTCCCACGGGGTGGGGGGTGATGATGACTCTCTGTGATTCTGAGTTGTGTCTGTCTCCTGACAATTAGTGACATTGGGGCATTTGCCATATGTTTCTTGACCTTTTGAGAACTGTGTGCTCAGTTCATCTGCTCATGTGTGGGTGTGAGAACGTGTGTGTGCCGGTGCACTGCGCATGGGTTTGCACACACGTGAAGGCCTGAGGGCAAGAGGCGGTTTTCTTTAATTGCTCTACACCTTTATGTTTATTTTATTTTATTCTTGACACAGGATCTCAGTATGTAGCTCCAGCTGGCCTGCAAATCTTTACATAAATCAAGCTGGCCTGGAACTCACAAAGATCTGCCAGCCTCTGCCTTCTGAGTGCTGGAATTAAAGATGGGCACATCATGCCCAACTCCCACCTTTATTTTCTGAGACAGGGTTCCTCATTGAAACTGAAGTTGGTTTGGTGGCCAAGGAGCTTCCAGGAAGCTCTGTCTCTACTGTTTATCTCTGTGCCGGGCTACAGGGACATGCCAGCACTCCTGACTTTTTACATGGCTGCTGGGGACACAAACCCAGGTTCTTCATGCTTAGGCTTACACAGCAGGTGTTACACTGACTAAGCCATCTTCACAGTCCATCATGGCATCATTTTTAATTGGATTATGATTGCTGTTGGACTCTTTGAGTTGAATTCTTGCTCATATAGTCTGGAAATTGATCCCCTGTCAGGTGCATAGTCTGACCTGGATGCTGTTTCCTCACTATGTTGCTTGAGTCCTTTTCTTTTAAAATAATTACATTTAGCAATTTTGTTTTCTTACCTGATGGGGGATGTTGAAGTGAGATATTCACCCTCCCTGTATGTTTTAATATTAGTACTCGGTTGACATGAGACATTATTGCTCCAGACAGCACCGAGCTATTCCTGAGTGTTGTTGGGCCCTGATGACACGCCTTCTGGAGTTCATTCTCTCCTCGGTTAGGCCTTGTGGGCACAGAGCTGCCCCCACCTCGACCACTGACTTTGGACATGCTGTCCTACTATGCTTGCAGGACATAAACTTAAAGAAGACTGCTGAACCTTGCCATGTCAGGATAAGGTAGCCTTTCAACCTCCCTGCTTCTATGTTGGTCAGTCTGATACTCTAGGCCTTAGCCAAAGCCGGCTGCCTCTATGCTGCTGTGAGTCTTTGGGTGACTGTCCAGATGGTCTGCTCTTTCTGTCTTTGCTTGCACCTTTGGAAGTCACTCGCTTGTACTTCCTGCCTACCCTAGTACTGTTATCCTCCTTCTCAGGTCATTGAAGATTAGACTGTCAGAATTATTGTTCTCTCTTCCTAGATAGAAATATTAGGTACAAGACTTAAACTTTCCAGTTTAGGACAACTTCATAGTAATCTCTGTTATGCCTGTACCCTAAGACTGGATATGTAGTTCATGCCAATTGCTCTATGGTGCTTCACAGGCAGTAGGTCATAAACTGTGTACGCTTTACCTTTCCTTTCCTAGAGCACATTTGATATTTGCTATCATTGCATATAGTTTTGTATCAAGCATAAATTGTCTTCCTTAGATTAAAAGGGGACTTGTAGTGAGATATTCACGCACGCACGCACACACACACACACACACACACACCCGCACCTGTAGCACTGACCACGCCTTATGCGTGGTCACAGGTGCAGACTTGATGGTTAATAGGATTGAATTGGGGCTGGGAAGCCCCTTCTTCGGGTTGCAGAGAGCATCTGGGTGGCAGGGTCTGCATACTTGGAGCGGGAGCCTGCGATCGTCATTCGTTTCCTGTGTAAGTTATTTTCTCCTAATAAATTAATTCCACTTCATCTTTTCTGGTCAAGCATCCCGATTTCCACGTGCTATAGGATGCCCTTCTGTATATGTGTTTCTCTTATTGTGTGATGGCTGAAACACTGGGCCAATAGCCAGGCAGGACACACAGGCAGGGTGACCAGACGAGGAGAAGGCTGGGGGAAGAAAGGCAGAGGGAGGCCTCAAAAAGAGACACCGTGTAGCTGCTAAAGGAGTAACAGGTCCGGGCATTCTCCGGTAAGCCAAGACCACGTGAAAATACATAGACTAATAGCTACGGGTTAACAGTTAAGTGAGAAGTAGCCAGTGAGAAGCCCAGGTCATCAGCCAGGCAGTATACAAATGAATGTAAGTCTTTGTGTGTTTGTTTGGGGCAAAGCAGCTGTGGGACCAGGTGGATCAGAAACCTCCATCTTCACTTATCTGTGCCGTTAGGAGCACACTATTGCTGCTGCGGCGGCTGCGGCTGCTGCTGCCTAAGCCAATGCCCTGAAGCAGGCTTTTGTTATTGATGGGTTTTGTGCATGCTGTGTGAGCACCCTGCACACTGAGCCGCCTCCATAGCCATCACTGGGAGACCTGGGTCAGATTTTCATGGATCGGAAGCACAGCACAGGGTCTGAGTGTGTGCCGTCGGCGCCCTACCACACGGCGATCAGATTCGTTGGCGTCATTTTGGACAGCTTCTTGGCATTCATCCACGGTGGCTCTCTACAGAGCCCCTAGAGACTGCTGGGACTGACTGAAGTGGCCTCCGCACGGTCACAGGATGTGTCTTCCTCAGGTGGACCTCCTGAGGGTCATGGGTACTGAAATGAAGGCAGGTCATGTCCCGTGGACATGGTCTTCTGCCATTTCCTATGCTCCAGGGTAAGGATCCGTTTAAATACACCGTTATTGGCCATTGGGCTTGGAGAGGGGTGGATGACAGGAAGTCATGATTACTCAATGTCACCATTTTATCTTCTGAGAGCTGTAACTGGGCTCCTCAGCCATTTTTCGAGTCTTTGACCAATAGAAGAATGATTATAAGATGTCTTGAGAAAGGGGTAGTAGCCCTTCACTGACTGTTATTAAGTTGTAAACTCGTATTTGCCTTCCTTCCTCTTGGAGTGGGGATCAGTGGTCCATTGTTTTCTATTTTCCAGGTTTTTCTACTGCTAAGGATCAAATCACAGGTCCAAGCATGGTGAGTGGCCAGGAGCGGGGCTCCTTGACTGTGCGGTGCAGGTATGACCCCCACTGGAAGGGTCACAAGAAGTACTGGTGCCGAGGAGCAGATTGGGGTACGTGTGCGACTCTTGTCCAAACTGATACATCGGAGAAGTTGGTGGAGAAGAACCGCGTGTCCATCAGGGACAACCAGACAGACTTCATATTCGTAGTGACCATGGAGGACCTGAGGACAAGTGATGCCAGCATTTACTGGTGCGGGATTGAGAGAATTGGTAACGATCCCGGCTTTAAAGTTAATGTGAACATTGACCCAGGTAAGAAAAAAAAATTCTAGAAGTTGTGACTGGGGTGAGGGGTCAGGGACACTGAACTCATGACTGAGAAAGTCTTACTGGAAAATGCACACACAGTCTCTCTACTTGGTCCTGTTTTCTACTGGGACAGAAGGGGAGGGGGGAGCCCTTGTCTTCCCGCCCACACATGTATGTCTTACACATTCTCACTTGTCCAGAACTGGGAACTGAACTCAGAACCTCATGTGTGCTAGTTAAGCACTCTACCACTGAGCTAAACTCCCATCCTGAGATGCTCCCACCCCCACCCCGCACACCCGCCCGGCACCCCCACCCTTTAACATAAAATAGAGGAAGCCACAGAAGCTCTATTTCTGGGCAAGACAGAGTAACAAGGATAAGACCTGTGTCTGCTGAAAGTATAACAAAGAAAACAGACAAAGCCAGTGAGATGGCTCAGAGGTTAAGAGCACTGCTGCTCTCCCGGGGTTCTCAGCACCCATTGGGCAGCTCACAAGCATCTTCACTGCAGCTCCAGGGATCCGATTCTCTTCTGGCCTCCGTGGGCACCGTGGGCACACTATGGGCACCGTGTGCACGCTATGCTCATAGATAAGGGCAAACAAGCACCCGTAGTCAGACAGGTAAATTGTTTTTTTTTTAAATAGACAAAACGTGCAAAAGTGAAGTCTTCCTGCACACCAGATAGCAATGAGGACGCCGTGAAGAAGCGAGTTTAAAGGGGGGGAACTGCTTTCACTGCGGGTCATCTTCCTTCAGAACGGAATTAATGTACACTTTAGGGTGATGTCTGTAGAACAAGTTCCTGAGTTCCCAGTGGAGAAAGCTTTAGGCTATACCCAGAGCTGGGCTGTCCTCAGGAGGAATGAACCATGTACTCTTTCTATCTTTAGACCCACAAATACCTGTTCTAACAGTGACAACCACGGCCCCAGTTTTGACATCCACACCTTCAACCAGGGAGAACACTGGAAACCATGGAGAGACTCAAACTAACCCCCCCACCTGGTAAGCAGAGCTGGGCCCAGGCAGCTCCTTCCCACTGGGCTGTATCCTGTGGCTGCTCCCTGGGAAGGGTCCCCAGATAAAACATAAGATGTCCAGACCTTCTAGAGTTCAGGACAACCATTCATTTCTAGGACAGTGGTCAAAGGAAAAGGGAGGGACAGCAGGCAAAGCTTCCCGGGGCTAAGGTGCAGACAGCTTGACCAGCCAAGCTCTTGCAGAGAGGCCATCTTAGTGTCATCCCAGGCTTGTCCTTACTGGTCACGGAAGGCTGAGACCTCTATGCCAGGTGACATCTTCCTTCCTCTCCCCTTCCTTTCCTGCAGGTCCCTGCTGAGCAGCATCTACTTCCTGATCCTGGTCTTTCTGGAGCTGCCCCTGCTCCTGAGCATGCTCAGTGCAGTCCTCTGGGTGAGCAGGCCTCAGAGGTGCTCTGGGGGAGGTGAAGTTGGTCTGGAGAAGTTCCAGAGTTCTGATGCCCGGTGAAGAGAGAAAAACCTCCCAACAGACAGAAAAAAGTGTGTGTGTGTGTGTGTGTGTGTGTGTGTGTGTGTGCATGTGTTTACACATTGTGGGTGCATATGTGTAGGAAGAGCACAAACTCAGGTGTCATTCCACTGTTGTCTGAGACAGGGTTTCTCATTGGCCTGGACCTTTGCCATGTGTGCCACGCTAGCTGGTGGGGAATTCCTGGGACCTACCTCCCTCCACCTTCCAATCTCACCATTTTCCAAGCACATACAACAGCCTCAGCTTTAAAACACACACATACACACAAAAACCATAAACAAACAAAAAAAATACATAGGTCGTGGTCGTAAACTCATGTCCTCATACTGCAAGGAAGGCAAGCACTTTACCAACCAAGCCGTCTCCCAGCCTAGAAAAGAATATTTCTGTGGAGGAATGACTGTGGTCAGCAGTTCTATGACTCTGGGTACTGTGCTCTCAGTCCCAGACTGCTCCCCCTCCTATAGCAGAGACAGCATAGGTTCTGGAGTCCCTCTCTCAGAACAACCTACACTGCCTTCCTGGGCCTTTCTTCCTCTGACAGCCTCCAATGAAATAGAAATTACAAGAAAAAAATCATGTTTCCTTTTAGGGCCCCGGTTCCTTGGAGTACATATGTCATCCTAAGTCTGTGGACCACTGCCAGATGTTTGACCAAATATCTGGGAAATGTGGCCTCACCAAGTGGCATACAAGTTCACCACTGTCCTATTGGATATCTGTAGCTTACAGAAAGAACACAAGGTATCAGTCAACACACCAGTGACTAAGTGTGTTCCAAACACAGATGGAGCAGTTGACAGTGTGACTGCCCCACTTGTCCCCTCAGGTTCCCATGGAGTATGCCAATCATGGTTCCTGAAGTCTAGATCCCTGGCCCGGTGAGACCAAATGGGGCATGCTGCAGAATATTATTTTAACTATGTAAAGCCGTATTACATTTGTTTATGTTGCAGAATGTTACTTTAACTGTGTAAGGGTGTGTTACATTTGTTTATGCTGCATTTGTTTAATTATGAAAAGATGTGTTGCTGTTTAACCTCGCCAACCTAAAGCACCTAATGGGTTTAATAAAAAGGTGAACGGCCAATGGGCAGGCAGGAGAGGGATAGAGAGGGCTGGCAGACAGAGAGGACAAATACGAGGAGAAATCTAGGCTAGCGAGAAGAGAAAAGCAAAGAGACTGGGAAGAAAGAAAGAAAGGCAAAAATCCTGGAGACAAAACATAAATGAGGAGAAGCAGGATAATTTAAGTTATAAGAGCCAGCCAGAAACGACCCCAAGTGAAGGCTGACCATTCATAACTGGCATGATTTGGGAGCTGGTTGTTGGTCCAAAAGGAAAAGTCTGTCACAGGGGAGTTAACTGGGTGAAGGGTGCTGTCCTCTCAAGAACCATGAGACCACATGAGCCCACTGTGTTGTGAAATTATCATTTTGTACACTGTGAAGATTTGCCACTTGGATTGGTTTAATAAAATGCTGTGGGCCAATAGCAAGGCAGGTTTTGGGGAACGGTTGGAAAAAGGGGAGTCTCCAGCTAGACACAGAGGAAGAAGAACATGCAGGAGGACAGGTGACAGCCGCAAGCCATATGGCAGAACGCAGATTGATAGAAATGGTTTAATCTAAGTTATAAGAACTAGTTAGAAATAAGCCTAAGCTATAGGCCATGCTTTTACAATTAATAAGAAGTCTCTGTGTCGTTATTGGGGTGCTAGCTGGTGGGACACAGAAAGACTGGCTACACCATTGACCACTGTTGTCCTCCTGTTCCTTCAGAAGCATCTGTTCAATGTCTAAGCACCAGACATCATCCAAACTCAAGCTGAAAATAATAAGACAGACCTGGTTAAATTCTGCAGGGCAAGCTGAAAGGTCCAAAGGCAAATGGTCAAGAGGAAAACAGTTGTTCCTGGCTCTCCAGCCTCACTGAGTGCAGCACCCACAACACCAAGTCTTCTCATCCCTCTGGGCTATGACACTGACAGCCCAAAGTCACAAATACTGTGTGGAAAGACACCCCATGTTAACATCTTCTCCTTGATGACAGGTGTTGCAGCTCCAGTGAGTCTGCCTTTGTTGAAAGAAGGCTTTTTGCTTGCTAAAGTGGAGTAGTGGACAGTAAATTGCCTGTTTCCCAGCCGGGCGGTGGTGGCGCACACCTTTAATCCCAGCACTGGGGAGGCAGAGGCAGGCGGATCTCTGTGAGTTCAAGGCCAGGCTGGACCGACAGCCTCCAAAACAATACAGAGAAACCCTGTCTCGTAAAAACCAAAAAAAAGTTGCCTATTTCCCATCCATACTGAGGCAAGAAATCCTAATTAAACGTAGTGGAAGTATGTGTCCAGGTGCACACATACACACACATACACACAAACACGCATGCCCAGATGTCATGTAAGCAGGAGGTGGGCTATTTAGAAAGAAGTAGCCTGGGCAGTGGTGGTGCATTCTTTTAATCCCAGCAATTGGTTGGCAGATTTCTGAGCTGGAGGCTATCCTGGACTACAGACTATGTCTCAGGATAAGTTGGGATATTCAGAGAGACTATGTCTCAAAGAAAGAGTGGGGGGAAGGATGGAAGGAAGGAAGGAAGGAAGGAAAGAAAGAAAGAAAGAAAGAAAGAAAGAAAGAAAGGATGAAAGAGGAATTAAGGGAGGGAGTGAGTAGGGGACAGAGGGAGTTAGAGAGGGAGGGAGGGAAGAAGGAAGGAAGGAAGGAAGGAAGGAAGGAAGGAAGGAAGGAAGGAAGGAAGGAAGGAAGAAGCCAGTCAGTGATGGTCAATTCCTTTAATCCCAGCCCTCAGGAGGCGCAGGGAGGGGGGGTCTCTGTGAGTTTGAAGCCAGCCTGGACTACAGGGTGGATTTGATGATGGTCCAGGCTCCACAAAGAAACCCTGCCTTGAAAGGTAAAATAAAAGAAAGAAACAAATCTAGTCCGCTGTCATTTGCTCATATGATGATAGATAGATCTTTTGTCAAGTCTTTCTGAGATGGGAGTCCCTGAGCAGAAATGGGAGATGGGCTCACTCTCCCACCTTCCTCAAACACCCCTGGTCTGGCACAAACAGATCATGACGAAACCACACAGACACATTAGGGGAAACTAGACGAAACTTGCTCCATGCTACACAGATAACGGTAGCTGATGTCTGTAATCCCAAGTCTAGCAAGCTTCCTCTATCCCACAGCCTGCGCAGTTGGTTCTGTCCACTAAACATTTGTGTTTTGACCAGGTGCATTATGTCATTGCCCATCTATGTGAATACCACCCAAATGTCCAACACAATTTAGCACTGTCTGCACTCATAAAACCTCGCTAATGACCCCAAAATGGGGAGATTTCTTGTGAGAGAGGTCCTGGTCATTGTCCCCAACATGTTTCTTCACCCTGGGATTCAGAACAGACTTTCTCTGACTCAAATCTGAGGTCTCCAAGGCCACAGAACAACTAACCTGGGGACTGAAAAGGAGAATTTGTGGTATCCACAGGGCCCTGCCTCCCATCTCACGGCCTCCATCTACAAACAGCAGTATCTCCAGACCTCAGCAAAGACCCTCCACATCCTATCTGATTCTCTTCGGAGTCTTGTACTTAGAAAACATTAAATGTGTGTGTGTGTGTGTGTGTGTGTGTGTGTGTGTGTGTAATGGTGCAAACACACATGTAAGTAGACTTTTCTGTTCAGGCAGCACACTCCCCAGTAACCACAAAGACAATTAATATTAATTATTAATTATAAATGCTTGGCCAATAGCTCAGGCTTATTATTAGCTAACTCTTACAACTTAAATTAACCCATTTATGTTGACTTCCATTCTGCCACGTGGCTTTGGTGCAGTATTTCCTCACTGTTCTCCATCCCCTACATTTTGGAAAGGTAATGTATAGTCTAAGCCATTATATGATGGAAGTATATGATCTGCTTTTTTATTTGACTTTACAGGGCATTATAGTTAAGAAATTGCATGACTCTTGGAAGAGACTTTGGACGTTTAAACGTTTTTGAGACTTTGATGGAGTTTTGAAACTGGACTAGGTGCATCTTGTTATTATTAAAGGTTTATGTGCCCCAGGGAGTATGATGTAGTAGTTTGAATGTATTTGGCCCCCATAAGCTCATATGGATTGACACTATTAGGAGGTGTGGCCTTGTTGGAGGAAGTGTGGCATTGTTGGAAGAGGTTGGATGACACACATTTTTAGTCCAGACCTTGAGGCTGGAGTGCACACCTTTTGTTGGAAGTGTGTCACTGTGAATCTTTTTCTCAAGCTTCACTCAGTGTGACAGCCAGCTTCCTGTTGCATCTGAGTCAAGACATAAGGACTCTCAGCTCCTGCACCATGTCTGCCTGCACGCCGCCATGCTCCCTGCCGTGGTGATAGTGGACTGAACCTCTGAAGCTTCGAACCAGCCCCCTCAATGAAACATTTTCTTTGTAAGAGTTTCTGTGGTCACGGTGCCTCCTTACAGCAAGAGAAACCCTGGCTAAGACAAACTATCAAAGACCCCAGAAGGTTGAAATGTTATCTAACAATAGGGACAACTAACTGGCTTCCTAGACAGTCACCAATGTTCTTCTGTAACTTTGGCCTACAGGCTTAGCATATGTAAAAGGCATTTTTCAGAAGTGGGGAATTGTGAAGGGATGTCCTATCTTGTCTTGGCAAAGTTTCACAGGACATTTATATAAACATATTAAACATATTAAATGCCATATTCTGTAGATCTTTGAAGGGTGCAAAGATTATCAAAGTATCTAAATGTATCTGTGTATGACCTTGAAAACTTTCCTAACATGACTATATGTTTGATTGTAACTATTAATCTGTATTTCTTTTTTTAAGATTTATTTATTGTGGAAAAAAAGTTTTATTTATTTTGTGTACAATTTTCTACCTGCATGCCAGAAATGGCACTAGATTTCAATATAGATGGTTGTGAGCCACCATGTGGTGGCCGGGAATTGAACTCGGGACCTCTGGAAGAGCAGCCAGTGCTCTTAAATGCTGAGCCACCTCTCCAGCCCCTAATCTGTATTTCCTAATTATACATTACTTTTTTTGGTTTTTCGAGTCCAGGTTCCTCTGTATTGTTTTGGAGGCTGTCCTGTAACTCGCTCTGTAGACCAGATTGACCTCGAACTCACAGAGTTCCACCTGCCTCTGCCTCCTGAGTGCTGGAATTAAAGGCATGCACCACCAATGCCTGTCTTATACATTTTTAAATGAGCGATATAAACACAACACCTCAAACAAGAGTAGAAACTTACATACAGTATAACAAAATTAACTTTAAATATGTATCAATAAACCAAAATCCATACCAATGAGATTAATGATTGATTTTTTAATTAAAGTTGATTCAATAATATATGCTTTTATCTCATCATTTCTCTATCACATCCCCCCTTTACCTTTAGAAAGAGATCTTTGAATTTAACTCTTTTGTTTAGATTTTTTTCTATGATCAATAACAACTTGTAGTCAACCCCCCTGAAATGATAATAAACATCCATGGCCCATTTGGGGAATGTGGTCATTGATCTCTAGAATGCTTCCTATTGCTTGTGGGTGCTGGTATCTTTGGGGGAATCTTGAGAAATCAGAATAATTGTTAGGTCTTGACTGGAGCAGTTTGTGGGGCTAGGTCATCTCAGCCAGCAGCCTTGAAGCTGTTTTGGATGCAGAATTCTGAGGAGACTGTAAGAGGAGTCATCTGAGATGCTGGAATTCCTGGGTCATCTGTTTTTCTTTGGTGTTTGGTCACCTTGATCTAAAAATACATAATTGTTAAAGGCAACATATATTACAACCATGGAATATGTGGTGTGCACAAGTCAGTTAAAGATTTTTTTGTTTTATGTTTGAGCAGGTAACATATACCCTATGTCTATAACCAGGATTACGGGGGATCTTCCTACATCAACCTAATCATCTTTATCCTGGAATGAATCCACAGACTCTTGTTTCCTGTGGAAAGAAAAGCATAGCCTCTCCCCCAAAGCAACACACCTTTGACTTCCATTTTGAAGTCAAGATATTTTTTAAACATATAGGTTGCTTTAATCTAGCTGCTTTCATAATCCATTCTCTTAGGAGCCAAAAAGTTTCAAGACAACACAGTAACAAACAGGATCCAGACTCTCTGTGTGTTTTCCATGTTTATGTGACTTTTTTGTATTATATTTCTTTACTCCTTTTTTAAGGACTTTGCTTATTATTTTAAATCTACATTTATTTGTTTTTTATTTATGACTGTCTATATTCCTTTTCTCTCCTAAAACCTTGTACATTTTTAGAAACACTGTAACCCATTTAGAATTTTCTTTTCCATCTAGATCTTGAGGGCTAGGTGGTGGGTGGCGCACGCCTTTAAGCCCAGCACTTGGGAGGCAGAGGCAGGAGGATCTCTGTGAGTTCAAGCACAGCTGGTCTGCAGAGTGAGTTCCAGGACAGCCAGGGCTACACAGATAAACCCAGTCTTGGAAAAATAAATAAACAAAAAAGAGGATGATTAGGGAAGCAGACCAAGATAGAGGCAGAACCTGGATCATGAGTGAAAGAGTCCATGTCATTTACAAATAGGAAAAAGTCACCTTGTTTTTCAGTGAAGTAGTGAGATAAGCAGATCTATCTGTCTGTCTGGGCCACGCATCCATCCATCCATCTGTTCTAGTGTATATTTTTTGTTGCTATGATAAAACAGTGACCAAAGTCAGTCTGGTGCAAGGAAAACATTTATTTGGCTTCCATGTCATGGTCCGTTTTGAAGGAAGTGGGCAAGAACTCAGCAGGAACCTGGAGGCAGGAACTGAAGCAGAGGCCAAGGGGAGCAGTGCTTACTGGCTTCTTCTAGAGGCTGCTCAGCCTGCTGTCTTATAGAACCCAGGACATGGTAGCATCACAATCGTGGGATGAGCTCTTCCATATCAATTTTCAACCAAGGAAATATTGTAGGGATGTGTCCACTGGGTCAATCTGATGGAGCCAGTTGCTCAATAGAGATTCTTTCTTCCCGGAGTCGATAGTTTGTATCAAGATGACATGCACTTACTAGACACTATCACCTGTCTGTCTTTCTCTTCTTTTCTTCCTTTCCCCTAAAGGCCTTGTATTAGTTAATTTCATCTTACTGTGATCAAACAATGACAAAAGCGTCAGGAAGGAGGGGATTCTTTTAGCTCATGGCTTGAGGGGATTTAGGTGGGCATTGTGGAAGTGGCACAGGGTGGGTATGAGGTGGATGGTGATGCTGTAACCATGAGTAGAGAGCAGAAAGAGGTGAATGTTGGGTCTCCACTTCCTTTTCTTCTATTTATTCAGTCTGTCATCCAGCACACAGTACGTGTTTGCTCACAGAACCTGTCTCCACTCACTGAGAGGGACCTACATCTATCCTGCTGCTTGGAGAGGCCTGGATCGCAATGGAAGACCCTGAAGAGACACAGGTAGGGTGCCACAGGTCCAGAGATGCCCTGCTAGGCACGTTACATGTATTTGTAGCTGTGGAATTGTTGTGGTGAGCATGTGATATATCTACACACACACACACACACACAGACACACACACACACAGACACACACACACACAGACACACAGACACACACACACACACACAGACACACACACACACTTCCTCTTCTAGTATCTGCAGGTTGTTTCTCAATGACATATTTGCTTCTCACTGCAGGGTAGAGCTTGGCAAGAGGTATCTTGTCTGTTTCTTCTTTTCTCCATGGCAACTCTATGTGTTTCTGTGTCTTTGTTTGATCATGTGGCCAGACAGTTGTGGGTGAGTGTGAATCAGCTCCACCCCAGGGAAAGCTCTTGCCATCACCTTGCTGCCCTCCCTGACTCTTGCACGAATGACCATCTTAGACGGACAGGCGAGGTCAAATCTTGAGAGCTTACCCAATAGGAAGACAGCAGAAGCCTGGAACCCTGGCTCTGTGGAGTGCAGACCTCACCAGACTTTGGCAGGATCTAAAAATAAGTCGCTAGTTTCTATAGTCTCTGAAGCGTGCTGTCAAATGTGTAGTTCTATTTACTCTACCTGTCATGAGCAAGGCATAAGAGCATACCCAGTGTGGGCCCTGATTTTAAGAGAATCATGGGTTAGTGGACACAAATGCTCTGCTTGCAGCTTTGTCCTACTGCTTATTCTGGGAAGGGGGAGACAGTTGCATCAAGACACCAGATTCCTCTGATCTCCTTCCCAGGGCATCAGGGTAACCACCCGCTTTCCAAGATCCTGATTTCAGGTGTCTCCTTCCAGGCATCAGTGTCTAAGCATGGAGAGAGTCCAGCCTGAGTGCTTGGCTTCCTACATGCCTCATCAGATTCCCAACTGAGCATCAGGCAGCAGCACCAGCAGCTCAAGGTCACTCTGCATTATTTATCCTAGCCTTGACCTTCATGACATCACTCTTTGTATTCTAATTCCTCTCAGACATTCTGACCAGGTCAACATCCTCATTCTTAGAATTGAAGAATGCAGAAGAGACTAATGGGGTGATCCTGACCTTGTGTGGGAGAGACAGGAAGATCTTTCTAAGTCTGAGACCAGGTGGACTACAGCTGGTGTCAGGTCAGCCAGGAATATATAGCTAGACCCTGTGTCAAGAGGACTGGGAAAATGACAAAGAGGAGGGGTGGGGAGGAGGAGGAGCAAGGGGAGGAGGGAGAGGAAGCAAAACAATATTTCGTTGTGCCATTCTCCTTCTCTGTTTTGCCAGATCTCCATGGCTCCATCCTTCCTGTCAAGATCAGCTGTTTTACACAAATTTGCTGGTTGTCTCCTTCTAAAGGTCAACTTCCTTGTTTCTGCTGTCCATAGAGAAGAGTCCTCCTCTGACCAGTGCTTTCCACTCAGTAACATTTATAGACAATTCAAGGCAATGCGCTTGAAAAAAATGTCATAGCAGTGCTGAAGAAGGGTTCTAGAGAGCAGATATGGTGTGTGTGTGTGTGCATGTGTGTGAATGTGCATGTGTGTGCATGTGAATGTGTGCATGTGTGAGGGTGCATGTGTGTGTATGTGTGCGTGTGTGTGAGTGTGTATGTGTGTGTGTGAGTATGGAGTGACTAGGTATAATTTCTCAGGTACTGTGCCCTTTGGAATTTTTTTATTGAGACTTAGGGTCTCTCATGGCTGATTGACTGGGGTGGCTGTCCAGTGAGCCCTAGGACTACACCTGCCTCCACTTTCTCAGCAGTGAGATTATAATCCTGTACCCCCACGCCTTGAGTTTTTTAGCCCTGTGTTCCAAGGATTGAACTCAGATCCTCATACTTGCAAGCACTTTACCTACAGATCTGTCTCCCAGCCCCAGAATTAATTCTTATAAAGCAAACCAACAAGTCAACATGATAACACATGTATCTAACCCCACATTCAGGATGTTGAGACAAGAGTATGGCCACAAGTTCAATGCCAGCCTGACCTACATTGAGTGTTTCAGTCCAACTGAGTTACATAGTAAGAACTTGTCTGAGAGAACCAAAAAATAAAAAACAATAGCCCTAAGTAGTGATATATACCTATAACCCTAGCAACTGGGAGGCTGAGACAGGAGGATCAAGGGTTGGAAACCAGCCTGGGAGCCAGAGAAACTTTGTCAAAATTTTAATTAATTTAATTAAAAACAAAAATCAAATGCCTATTCCAAATAAAATCAAAGTTATATCTTTGGAAAGATGTCAGTAAGTATAAAGAAATAAGAGAAAGAGCCATTATGTTGACGGCTGCGACTAAATTAACTTGGACAGTGTCCCATCAACCTCATGTAGAATCTGTCACCCCCTCACTATCGTCCATTCTATTCCTGTGGTCCAATCTCCAAGACCTGTCTGGAAGACATGCTATCTCCAGGAGCCAACTTGATGGCCATGCTGCTTACTTCCCACAGAAAATGGCCCCCAACCCTTGTCCATAAATACACTTGAATTTAGTCTAACCTTCCTGCTGTGACTGGAGTCCCTAAGGTCACTGAGGTTCCTGGATCCACAGAACTCACAGAGCAGAGCTGTCTCCACACAGTCACTAGGGGTCACTAGATCACCAAAACACACTAGAACAGAGCTGTCACCCCAACAGCTGTGTTACTGCAGCAAAGAGTGTTATGTCTCTGTCCTCCCATGATGATGTGAGTTTATGTGACACATGGACCCTCAGAGCTGAGATTGTAGGGGCCACCATGTGGTTTCCTGCAACCTACAGTGAACTTCAGGCATCTTCAGCCTGGGCGAGGGGTAGGGTAAGCTGACTCAAATTTTCCAAGAACAGGAAATAAACTTGTGTGGTTAAACAGTCTAGAGTTGGTAGTTTTGCTTTGGCAGCAACTGTTTTAAAAGCGGATGAATCCAGTCTGTGTCCACAGGCGGTTTGGGATGGGGATGGTGACAGTGCATTTCTGGGAGCATCGGCAGCTGTGCCTTCTCTTTCTCAACTCTTCTCAGCCTCCAAGACGGGTAGGTGGAGCAATCTCACTCCTGAACTTTATCGGGAGAGCAAGGCTCCTGGGGTCCACACTCTTGGAAATTACTGAAGTAGCATGGCTATTCCCTGCACGTTAGCTACACAGGAAAGGCCTTGCTACCCTAGGCACATCCACCATTGCAATTATTACCTGTTCAGGATCAAGAGGGGACATGGCTTGTCACATACATGCAGGTATTGTCATGTGTATAAGATACCATATACATGTGAATGTTCCTCACATGTGCTACACAGGCCACACACATGTATGCAGCACACATGTAACACACATGTGCAGTGCATAGTGCACGCACCATACATGATATAAATACCACATACATTATATGCATACAGCTATACATAGACCACATGCCAATATGCTACACACATGATGCATATATACCACATATATCAGATGTATATGTGTGTACCCCTCTTTACAATTATTATACCACACACATACCTTACCAATGGTCCTATATCTGGGACCGAATGAGAGTGCATTAATAGGGGTGACTATGATGGTCATGGTTGTAACAATACAATAGGAATAATGTCTTTGTTGCTCACACACACACACACACAAGTACACATGTCCACTCTTTCATATACCCCACACAAAAACAAGCATGTACCACACCTTTCACTTAGGCTACCAACCAGCTCCCAAATCATGATATGGGGACTTCTTACTCGTTTTGAATGTTCAGCCTTAGCTTATGCTAGCTTCTGTCTAGCTGGTTTTTTCTTTAACTTACATTAAGCTCTTTCTCTTCATCTATGTTTTGCCTCAGGGCCTTGTATCTTTCATTCCTTCTGTATGTCTCACTTTCCTTCTGTCTCCATGTCTGTCTGGTTGGCCCCAGGAGTCTCCCTCTCCCTCTCACCTCCATTCACTTCTCCTTCTTTTCTCGCCTCCCTAGATTTCTTCTTCTATTTAATCTTTCTGCCTACCAGCCCCACCTACCCCTCCTTTGACTAGCTATTGGCCATTCAGCTCTTAATTAGACCAATCAGGTGCCTTAGGCAGGCAAGGTGAAATAACAAAATATTTTTCATAACCAAGCAAATGCAGCCAAAACAATTGCAACACGTATTTACATCATTAACAAAGGCAGCAGAAACAAATGTAACACACCTTTACACACCTGAAGTAGTATTCCAAGCCATAAATAAATATAACACATCTTTACATAGAGCAAATAATATCGCATAGCACACATATGCAGAAACAGGCACACAATCGCATGCACAAAACCTAGTCACCCTGACCCAGATCCTCCCTGTTTCCATGAACACCTTCTTTCCTTGTCCCTCACTTCCTTACCCCTCAGTCTCAACTCCCTGGGTCTGGCAAAGGCAGTGTCCCTGCTCAGCCTCCTCTAAAATGGAGGTCACTTTAGGACCTGATCCCAGGAATCCTTAAGCCTGACCTACCTGAGAAGCCAGAAGCGGGACTCATGTTTCCCAGGGTTCTTTATTCTGATCTTGCTAGCACTGTGCAACTTCTGATGGAGGGGAGTTCCTGTGCACACAGTGTCTGTACGAAGAGGAAAACAAGCCATGAAAGTGTGTTGGCCACCCACGTTTACCACCCTGGAGGATTAGCAAGACCCAAGATACAAAGCGGGCAATGGTCAAGCATCCATCAGAATTGTCCCATGAGCCTCCCATTCAGAGAGAACTCAAGAGGGTTTCGCTGTGAACAACACAGGCATGTGTAGTGTGGGATTCATAAAAGTGGATCTGCAAAGGGACCACAAGGACCACAGTATGTCCCTACCTTCCAGATTGTCATGTCTCTATCCCAAGATGAGTCCATGATCCCATCAGCAGCAGAACTATCCAAACATGGGGCTGTCTGTCACAGCCCCGGGAAAAGACAAAGAACAGACGACCTGACAGAGAGGAAGAGATCAGCAGCTGTGAGTAAGCAGTGTGTATGTTGCCGTGTGTCTGAATGTGCACACATGTGTAACAGAGAAGGGACAGCTCTGTCCTTCAAACCCTCTGTGTGTCCTCGCATGACAGCAAGGACCACACATTTCCAGCTGACATGTGAAAGACCTGAGCCTGACTTCTTCATGACTTCCTGTCGTGATGAAAGCCATGGCATCCCTGAAGGAGCCTCGAGTCCCACCTGGCCATCTTCCCATCTTCTTTGAGAGAACAGACCTCGGAGCATCTGCCTCCTTCTATCAAAAGCTCCTGTGGTCTGGGCCTGAGTGATCAGCTTCTTGCAATGGAGGTTACTTTATTGCTTTTTGATTTGTTTTTCACCTTGGTGTGTTTGGGGGAACACATGTGCCATGGGACATAGCACATGTGGATGTCTAGGACATGCTAGTCATCCAATGTCGGTCCTCAACTTCACCTTGTTTGAGGCAGGGCCTCTCTTGCTCTGCAGACACCAGGATGGCTGCCCCATGAGCTTGCAGTCAGTGGAATAAGTGCAGATGACCAGGGGAGAGCCCAAGCCAGGGAACAGCAAGTGCCCATGTCCCTCACATGTGTCACCACAGCCTCCAGATATTGACACATACCCAGAGGTGCACATGCCTCTCAGGTTGGGGGCATCACCGGGCTCCATGAAACATTCCCTTGCCTTCTTCCCAACATGAGAGGAAATGTACTGCAGCACTGGGAACTGAGTGTCAGAGAGGAGAGATCTGAGGCTAGTCTTCATTCTCCTCCCAACACACAACACCTACCCAAGAGAATGACAACAGTTCCATGTCTAGGTATGGGGTCAGGAGACAGAAGAAGACAGAGCCACCAGGTGGACACAAGGGATGGAGGATTTCTGTAAGTTCAAGTTCAGCTTGAGTTAACAGTGCTTTCCAGCCCAGCCTGGGTTGCTATGTGAGACACTGACTCAAATAAACAAAGTCTGAGACCTACCTCAGGTGGTGGCGCGTGTGCCTGGCATGCATGAAGCTCTGGGTTCATTCCTGAGCACGATATAAATGGCGTGTGCTGGCACACCCCTATAATATACAATATAATATATAAGGAGGTAGGAGCAAGATCACTTCAAGGTCATCCTTACTGCACAGAGGCCAGCTTGGGCTGGAGAGGCTGCCACAACAAAGCAAACAGGATGAGATGGGGGAGAAGAAAGCTGTGACTTACAGGTCTGTGCCCTTTGTGGGACTCAACACCAAGATGAACTCTGACTGAGGTGTCTGCGTAGCCAGACATGGTGCCAGAGACCCCATGGACTAAGAGCACTCTATGGAAGGCTAAGCTGAACGGTGAAGGAGATGGTTCCTCTGTGCTCACAGAGGAGGCGCAGAGAAGATGCACAGCTCTCAAGTCCACTCAGGAAGTGATGTGTCACAGAGGGTGGGCAGCCCAAAGAAAGAAGGAAATGCACCCCAGCGCTCTGCCAGCAGTGGGAAGGTTGTGAAGCCCTTACCTGAGGGCTAGGGCACTGGTGGCACCCTCAGTCCATGGCCTTGATGTCCTCTCACTGGGAGTGATAGGGAGCAGCGCCCCTGAGGCCTGGAGCATCTTCACGGCACTTCCTGCCCGGTCCATCTGGAGCCTCGTGTGGACCAGGAAGCAGAGCACAGGAAGGAGAACTAGACACGTGAACATCGTAATCCTAGGACACCGCCCCTTCTGTGCTCTTGGTCTTGGAGAGGTGCAGGTGACATCAGAGCTGAAGAAATGATGCCAAGAGTGACCAAAGTGTGGCTGCCTTCAGCCCTGCTCCTCTTGCAGGTGCTGGGTGAGCATGGGGACAGGGGTGGGGTCACAGCTGTGAAAGGAACTCCTGGGGAAAGTGAGAGGACATGACAGGGCCATGGGGGTGGGAGAGAGCAGCCAGCAGAGGCAGATGGGGCCTAGAGTGAGGGCAGGAGGGGGTAGGGGAGGGCAGGAGGGTGGGGGAGGACAGGAGGGGGTGGGGGAGGGCAGGAGGGTGGGGGAGGGCAGGAGGGTGGGGGAGGGCAGGAGGGTGGAGGAGGGCAGGAGAGTAGGGGAGGGCAGGAGGGTGGGGCAGACCTCAGGACACAGCCATGTCTAGCACCCCAGAGACAGTCAGCACCTACTGAGAGGGCCAGCTGTGACAGTCGTTGTCAGAGAACAACAGTCTCTATTGTATACACAAACCCATCTTCATACACGTGCACGCTTACCAATACACACAAGTACTCATTCCCACAGAGACACATGTCCCATCCACAGAGACATACACACATATATGCACATATGTAAAGTCTCTCTCTGTCTCCCTGTCTCTCTCTTTATCTCTCTCTCTCTCTCTCTCTCTCTCTCTCACACACACACACACACACACACACACACACACACACACACACACACACAGTGTTGTTTCCTCCTATCCCTTCCTTTCTCCAGAGACAAGTCCCTCCCTGCCCCCTCTTCAGGACAACAGAGCCGCTCACCTCAGTGCTGACTCCTGGCCTGACAAAGCCTGTCTCCTTTCTCACCGCTGCCTCCAGACCAGGCAGACCCCTAAGACCTGACCAAGGGAGGCCTGACCCCCATCCAGCTGTGAGGGTGCTGAACTGGGGTTTGTGTTTTCCAGGCTGTGTCCCTCTGCGTGGCCCCAGGAAGGTGGCAGGCACTGTGGGGGAGTCCCTGAGTGTGCAGTGTCAGTATGAAGAGAAATACAGGGCCATAAACAAATACTGGTGCCGAGTGTCCCTGATACGATATTGTCAAGATGTTGTCAAGACCAGAGCCTCAAAAGAAGCTAGGAATGGCCACGTATCCATCAGGGACGATCCAGCCACCCTCACCTTCACAGTGACCTTGGAGAACCTCATCCCGGAGGATGCAGGCACCTACATGTGTGGGGTGGATATACCATTCATCAATGGCTCCTGGTGGGAGATCACTCCCTCCTTGGGGATTGATTCATACTTCAGGGTTGAGGTGTCTGTGGCCCCAGGTAAGCACCCTCATGTCATGGCATCCTGAGTCCCCACCTGTCATCCACTCTTGAAAGTAGGAAGCCAGATACAGTAGCATGGAGACCATGGTCAATCAGTGACTCAGGACACAAGGAGTGTGAGTCCACAGGTGCAGTTGTGAGAGCATGTGTGGCATGTGTGACAGCGTGTGTACACCAATACATGAGTGTGCCTGCACACTTGGGCAAGATGGGGAATGTGAGACCTTAGAAACTGTCTTCTCTGTATATTTACTTATTTATTGGTTTTTTTTGTTTTGTTTTGTACTTGCCCATGGTGTGTGTCCCTCAGAGGAGGACATCTGGCACTTGGTTTTCTTTCCCACTGGGTGGGTCCTGTGCTTAAACTCAGGTCACCCGGCTTGGCAAGCAGGGACCTTTACCCACCGAGCTGTCTCATCAGCCCCTGTTGGAGATTCTCTGTGTGTCCCATGTGACAGCCTCAGGCCTGAAGCTTTCCAGACACAGGCCCTGAACCACTGGCACTTTGTGACCTCCTGTCCTGATAGGAGACGAGTCCTCTCCCACATCCCATCAGGTGCTGTCCCCATCTCCATGTGGGAAGGGTACCCAGCACACCCACTCCCCATCACAGGCTGCTCTGGCCTCGGAGTGAGAGGACACTCCCCTTCCATGAGGTCCTCAGGGACCAGCCTCATCTCCGTGGTTCTGGGGCCTCTGAGAGGAAAGAGACACAAGAAGGAGACTGCACTGTGTATCAGGGTTACAGATCCCTGAGGAACCCAGTCAGCCCCTCCTAGTTCCCTTGTGTCCCTTGTTCCCAGGAACATTTTCCTGTAGGAAGAAATGCAGAAAGTCCCCCAAAAGTGTCCCTTCCCAGCAGAAGGTCAAGGGGGACGGACGACAGGCTCTGGGTAATTGTGGCCCCAATGTTCTCCATGCCCGCAGTTCATTCTCCCGTAATGGAGCCTCCCTGGTTTTTAGAACCCCAATGAGTGCATCTCTTTAAGGGTCAGGTGGTGGCAGGGGATGGAGGGACTGAACTGCTCTGTGTTTCTCAGGGTTTTTTTTTCTCTGAGAGAGGTTTTGTGTAGCCCAGGTTGACCACAAACTCACTGTGTAGTTGGGATTCGTCTGGAGTCACTGATATTCCTGACTCTGTCTCTCCGGCACTGGAATACAGGCTGGCATCACCACACACAACTTCCTGCTCTGGTTCTCGGTTTTGGTTTTCCCCCTCACTTAAGATTCTCCCCAGCATCCTCTGTGGGCTCGTACTGAAGAGTGCGAAAGAAAATCACACTGGGGTCACTAGTTCTCTGCAGTAGAGGCCACACTGCACAGGGTCCTTCAAGCATCGGCCTTTCTAGAACTTTCCATCTGGCCATTTCTCAGTGGCCTCTCTGGCTGACAGTGTGGGAATGACAGAGTCTCACCACCCCGTGTCTGTCCCCAGAAGGATGGAAGACAAGGAGGAAAAGGTGTGACTGAGGCCGAATGGGACCTGGCACCAAGTGTCTTGTCACTGACACTTAAACTCTCTTCTATAGGAAGATCGACCAGCCACAGTGCATGATGGGAAGGGCTGGGAAGGGAGGTCCTGACCAGGCCTTGGTGTGGCCATGGGGCTTCTGGGTTGACACACAGCTGTCCACCATGTCCCTAGGGACCTGTGTGAAGCAGAGCTGCAGGGGTCTCAGTGGGTAGGAGATGGACTTAAGGTCACTGACACTGTCTTGTGTTTCCATCTTCTGCTGCTGTCACAGGCTCTGTCCCAGAGAACAGAACAAACACCCTAAGGTTACCCACATCTTCACCGGTGCACACTCAGTCCAGCGTGACCACAGAGGACACAACTCCAGATCCCACCCCACCCCCTCGGTGAGGAACCAATCAATATCCCTGAGGCCTCTGGATTGGGGGTGGGGGTAATGCTGAGAGGGTGGAGGCAGAAGGGTTGAATCTCCCTCCTTGGGCCCCTCCTGCATCTCCCAGCCCCACACTGACCTGGGTGGGTGTCTTTAAAAGCCAGTTGCTCATCTAAAGACTGAGAAACAGCAATGACACCTAGACACAGACCTGGTGAGATGGACTTAGTTTCCTGCCAAGAGGTTACTACACAAGCACATCCATAGCCTGGGGTTACGGCTCTGCTGGTAAAGAGCTTGTCTTGCAAGCACAAGGATCTGAGTTCCTGCCACAGCACCCAGCCACCTGCCAGGCACGGTGGCATACATTTGATATACCCCAGCTCTGGAGGTGTAGACAGGAGCGTCCCTGAGACACACTGACCAGCCAGCCAGCCTAGCTTACTTGGCAAACTCCAGGCCAATGAGAGATTCTGTCAGAGAGCAAGACAGATGGGCCAGGCTTGGTGGCTCACGCCTTTAATCCCAGCACTTGGGAGGCAAAGACAAGCAGATCTCTGTGAGTTTAAGACCAGCCAGGACTATATAGCAAATTCAGTTCTAGCCAGAGCTACATAGTGAGACCTATCTCAAGACAAACATAACCAGGTAAGGATTCTTGACAAATGACACCCGAGGTCATCCTCTGACTTAACATTCATGCACACACATGTGCATCTGCATACACACACATGCAGAGAGAGACAGACAGACAGACAGACAGACCACTAAGTTAGTGAATTAACTAATGAAAATCAGTACAGTCACTCGGTGTACTGGCACAAGCCTTTAATCCCAGTACTTAGGAGGCAGAGGCAGGAGGATCTCTGTGAGTTCAAGACCAGTCTAGTCTATATACTGAGTTTCAGGACAAACTGAACTACATTATAGAGATCCTGTCCAAAAACACAAACAAGCAAAAAATAAGTAAATAACAAATAACAGCCACCAGGAGGAGACAGAGAGGACTCAATTGAGAAGAGAGTCTGGGTGTGTTTGGGGGAGGCAGTGACTGGATAATGGTTTAGGAGTAGTGTTCCATGGGTTGGTCTGGAGACAGAGGGCCAGGCCCACAGATCAAGGCTACTTCTTGGACTATCAGTAACACTGGTCATTTAGACAGGGCTGCTTTGTCCCTGAACACAGCACTGTGGACACTGACCTGGGGTAAAGGGACAGGCATACAGTGCAGGGTACCAGTGCTGCATTCTGGGAAGGGAGCTCATTGTCACCCTGTCCCCACAGGTCCCTGCTGAGCAGCATCTACTTCCTGATCCTGGTCTTTTTGGAGCTGCCCCTGCTCCTGAGCATGCTCAGTGCAGTCCTCTGGGTGAGCAGGCCTCAGAGGTGCTCTGGGGAGAAGCGGCACTGTCCCGATTATGAGAATCAGTGACATCTGTTGACAGCAAAGCCCTGTCCCTGTCACTGCACACAACTCCTCTGCTGCAATCTGAGCTTCTGCAAACACTGAGATTTTTTTGTTTGTTTTCTAGAGACAGGGATTCTCTGTATTGTTTTGGAGGCTGTCCTGGAATTTGCTCTGTGGATCAGGCTGGCCTGGAACTCAGAATTCTGCCTGCCTCTGCCTCCCGAGTGCTGGGATTAAAGGCATGCGCCACCAACGCCCGGCAGAATGCTGAGATTTTTTAAAGATTCTTTGTGCTGAATATACACATTTTTAAAAAGTTCCCAATAAATACATAGACATTTTAATAGCGAGTCTTTACTTATTTTTTATAATTTCACACATGTACAACACACGCTTATCGTGTCCACCTCACATTCCACCTCCCTCTCCTCAGAGCTGTGTTCTCTCCCCCTTCATGGTCCATCCCCCTTCTTTCCATTTTTCTTTTTCTTTCTGCAAACACTGAGCTCAGTTACTACCACCTTGAATGCTCACTGGTCCTGCTGTCTTGCTCTTGTGCAGGTAACCGCAGCTGCAGCGTCTTGAGTGCAGAGGTCATGGCAGCCAGAGCACAGCATCTCCCAGCACTGTCCTCTTCCTCCTCCCTGGCTATGGGATTCTTTCCTCTCCCTCTTCCTTCCAGAATGTTCCTGAGCGTTGGGGTAGGGTGGGGGTGCCTTGGAGTAGAATAAGGTGCCTTGGAGTGGGGTGGGGGTGCTTTGGGAGGGAGTGTGTACTTTGGGGTATGGTGGGGGTTTGATACAGATGTCCCATTTAGGGTTCAACACTCAATAGTCACTTTTTCTCAGCACTAAGACCACAGCAGAGGAAAGCTTCTCCAACCAAGGCTGAGGACAGCACTAATCAAAGTGTATAGACACAGATATTTAGAGGGCAGTTTGACAACATGTCCCATGAATGCACACACCTTACATGCAAATACTCTTGACGCTCCAGATTCTGAAATAGAATATGGTCCATACTGATGATCGCACTCTCCATCAGATGTCACCTTCCTGATTTCCACCATCCCTTGGTGACATCCTCAACGTGATATGTTTTTATCTGCTGAACTTAATGTGTTGTCACATATATGCACATTGGTTTCCCAAAGGTTTAATGTCTCTATTTCTGATTATTATTATATAGACAGAGTTATCCTTTTTTTTTTTTTACTGTGGAGCCCTGGTCTAGAACTCATTATATAGGCCACGTTGGTCTCTAACTCAAAGATTCATCTGTACCCTCATGCCTGGACCAGAGTTACACTCCTTTCCCTCAGTGATCAGGAGTAAAGCCTGATATGCAGGACAAGCACTTGGCCACAGAGATGCACCCCAGCCCCTTCCTCTGTCTGTCTGTCTGTCTGTCTGTCTGTCTGTCTGTCTGTCTGTCTGTGTCTCTCTGTGTGTGTCTGTCTGTCTGTCTGACTGTGTGTCTGCCTCTGTATCTCTCTTCCTTTCTCCTCCTTTCTTCCTTCCGTCTTCCTTTCATTAGTGGGGTCTCATACATAGCCCAGGCTAGTTTCCAACTCCTCATCCTCCTGCTTCAGTTTTCCTAGTTCTGGGATTATAGGCATGTACTACCATGCCCAGTATGCATGCTTCATTTCTAAGTCCTTGGTTTCATCATTTGACATTGTGCCTTTGAGGTTCACGCACACTGATGTGTTGACACTGTAACATGCGTCTTGTTTGTGTTTGAGGTTCACGCACACTGATGTGTTGACCCTGTAACATGCGTCTTGTTTGTGTTTGAGGTTCATGCACACTGATGTGTTGACACTGTAACATGCGTCTGGCCGGCTATGTTAGCACTCTGTTACATAGTTTCCCTGCTGTGCATAAACACTTTAGAGCCTCGGTTTCCTTTTCTTCTCCCACCTTCCCTCCTCCTCCTCTTCCCACCCTCCCCCACCCTGTGTTTGTGACGAAACAGAACACAAGATGATCTTTTGACATATTCTCTCTATGTAGTCCTAATGGATGTCCTGGAACTCACAGGATCCACCTGCCTCTGCCTCCCTAGCTCTGGCAATAAAGGTGTGCACATCATGCCTAACATGGAGACATTTCTCGGTTGAGGCTCCCTCTCTCAGGTGACTCTAGCTTGAGTCACGTTGACATAAACCCAGCACAATGCATCAAAGGCCCTTTTGGGTAACTTTCCCAGCTATGGACACGGACCATAACCGCAGTTATTTGTGAGCCTTGAAAATACTTTTTTAAGAGTCGGTGAGATGGATCAGCTCTACTGTGAAAGCCTGGACACCTGAGTTCAACACCCAGAATTAAGGTGGAAGGAGAGAACCAACTCCAAGAAGTTGTCCTCTGGCTTCTTCATCAAGCTGTGCTGCACAACCACACTCATAAACACATCGAACACACACATACACAAGAAATAAAGTTTAAAATAAATAATGAAATGTTCTTTAATAAACTAGTTCTTCTTTGAAAACTGTTCATATGTCTGTTGAATTTGATTTTGAATAACAGGTTTATTCCAAGATTTTTTAAAGATTTATTTTAATTATTTGTGTGTGGCGCTCGCACATGCGCGTGCGCGCACACATACACACACACACACACACACACACACACACACATGTAAATGCAGTACCCATGGGTAACAGAAGAGGGCGATGGATCCCTGAGTTAAGGGTGGTTGTGAGCTGCATTTTGTAGGTGTTGGGAACCAAACTTGAGTCCTTTGAAAGAGCAATATGCATGCAATCACTGAGCTGTCTCTTCAGTCACTATTTTATTTTTTAATATTTTTAAAGATTTATTTATCATGTATACAGTGTTCTGCCTGCATGTAAGCCAGCACACCAGAAGAAGGAACCAGATCTCATTACAAATGATTGTGAGCCACCAGGTGGTTTGCTGGGAACTAAACTTGGGACCTTTGGAAGAGCAGCCAGTGCTCTTAATCTCTGAGCCATCTCAGTGTAGAAGCACAGGCACATACTAACACACCCAGTCTCTCTCTCTCTCTCTCTCTCTCTCTCTCTCTCTCTCTCTCTCTCTCTCTCTCTCTTTCTCCCTCTCTCTCTCTCTCTCTCTGTATGTTATTGAGGGATCTAACCAGGGTTTTACATGTGGTAGGCCAGAATGCTACCGTTTAGCCACATCTCCTAAACCTGTGCAAACAGCGCCATCGACTGAGAATAAATATTCAGCCAGGTGTGCTGAGCACAGCCCACAACACTTGAGCTGGGAACTCGGCTCGTCATTACAGCATAGCTCATTTCTCCATCTAACACCCAGAACGTGCTACCCTTAACCCAAGACTGGACGTCCCCACCACTGGTCTGCAGGCTTGCCTCTCTGCCTCTCCTGCCCTGCACAATTCCCTCGCCTCCTCACTTCTGCTGAGTGACCAGCTCTGCAAAAACTGATGCCTCTTGTGCTGAGTAATTGGCAGCAGGAAATACCCACGCTATAAAAGGAAGCAGATGGGTAAGACACTCACAGGCAACCTGAACAACAGAAGGGGTCAACTGGGCTCTCCCGCGCTTTGGAATCCAGCTGGGATTTGGATTTTCTGCTGGCTGTGGGTCAAGGGTGTGGAGTGGGAAGGCGAGGCCATGTGGCGGCTGTCCTCAGCTCTGCTGCTTCTCAGTTTCCCAGGTATGTTCAGCTTGGGGCTGCAGGAGCAGAGCAGGAGGCAGAGGTCTCTGTCCTGGGTTTGAGGGGAGCAGCACCTTCGGGGAGATGAAGCTCTGTCGCTTCATTCAGCAAAGGAACCCTCGGTTCTTCATCACAGACTTGGGAATGTGAAGGGAAAAGAGAAATGAGGACGGTCATTAAAGAGATCCCAGGTGCTCTGATGGGTGATGTGTGCTTTAGAATAAGAGTTAACAGCAGGAAGAAACAGGACAGAAGAGGAGGGAGATGATACCACTGAGGGAGCTACAGAAAGCCCCTCCTGGACCTGTTCCTTCCATGTCCAGATGAAAGGCCAGGGGGCCCACAGGAGGCAGCAGCTCCAAGAAGAGGATAATGCATTGGAAAGGAACCCTGACTGGAAGACATGTGGAGGGTGACAGGGCAAGGCCTCTCCGGGCAGGACTAAGTCCACAGCTTTAAGAGAGCATTGGGGTTAGGGAAAGAGAACAGTTCGGGTGGCTCTCACAGGAGCAAGGAATGACACTAATAAGAAACTAAAACCAGTTTGCAATAAGACATCCATGCCAGAAATGAAGCTGACATGCTGGGTTCAGCTGAGGGGCAGGGGAGTAGCTGACATGCTGGGTGCAGCTGAGGGGCAGGGGAGTAGCTGACCTGCTGGATGCAGCTGAGGGGCAGGGGAGTAGCTGACATGCTGGTGCAGCTGAGGGGAAGGGGAGTAGCTGACATGCTGGTGCAGCTAAAGGGGAAGGGGAGTAGCTGACATGCTGGTGCAGCTAAAGGGGAAGGGGAGTAGCTGACATGATGGGTGCAGCTGAGGGGGAAGACAGGCTCAGTCCAGTCCCAGCAATGTCCAAGCTGGAAGAAGGATCCTCTGGATCTTTCTGAATGCTACTGTCACGATCCAGGTACCAGACGAGGGCCATCTGAGACCACACAGCCTGATGTCCAGCACTAGAGGTTTATGACAGCCAGTGTCCGATGGAAAGCAGCGTAGCAGCAGTGCAGAGAGGCTCAGCAAGTAGCTTACCCAGGCTTTCTCAACAATGCTGTGGAGATGCGTCTATCTGCTGGCAAAGCTCACGCTTTCCCTGCTCTGTCGTAATGCCCCATGTGCTGTGGTGGCAGAGACATAAAGAAGATGGCTCGGATTGGCATTTCCAGGGTGGCGTTGGCTGAACTGATAGCTGACCACTTGCGGAGGGAAGGAGAGGAGACATCCAAGTAGATGCTAATTCTCCAGTTAGACTCCTAGGGGAGTGAGATCAGGGCTTACAAGGTTATCTGGCTGAGTCCTTCATGAGTCTCCTGTGGCTGCTATAACAAGTGACACAAACTCAGTGGCCCAGAACAACACAATTTCATCTCACTGTTCCAAAATCAAGAGCCAAAATGGTCTCACTGGCTAGAGTCAAGGTTGTCTTCCTTCCGGAGCTCCGGAGAACGATCCGTTTCCGGGCTTCATCCAAAAGTGCCCCCTGCATCTGCTAGCCCACGGCCTCTCCTCCTCTTCGAGGCCAGCAGCAGAATGCCTTCCATCCCAAGCCATTTCAAAACTCATTCATCAGGACACGTAGAATAATCTAGGACAGCCTTGCCTCAATGTCCCTAGTCACACCTGCAAGTGCCTTTATTCTTTTTAAAAACACAGACAGGGATATGCACATTGAAGGGTCTTTTTATGTTTGTTATTTTCTATGGTGTGTATGTGCGTGCTACAGTGCTTGTGTGGATGTCAGAGGACAACTTCATGGAGTCAGTTTCTCCTTCTACCTCTTCGTGGGTTGCAGGGATTGAACTCCCTTTTCCAAGTTTGTGCTACAAACGCTTCACCCATGTATCCATCCCAAAAACCTCCCTTTGTCCGTGTGAGGGCACACAGTAACAGGTCGGTATTAGAAGGCCAGAAGTCGGCACTTAGTAGGCAGAGGTAGATATATGTCTATGAGTTCAAGGCCACCCTGGTTCATGTAGTGCAGTGGTTCTCAACCTGTGGGTCGTAACCCATTTGGTGGAATCGAACAACCCTTTCACAAGGGGCTGCCTAAAACCATTAGAAAACGCAGATGTTAGAAGCAAAATTACGGTTATGATGTTGCAACAAAAATAATTTTATGGTTGGGGGTCACCACAACATGAGGAATTGGTTAAAGGATTGAAGCCCTAGGAAATAGTGAGTTCCAGGCTTGCAAGCGCTACATGGTGAGATCCTTACTCAAAAACAAACAAACAAAAAAACAAAGTGGACAGTCTGTAAAGAAGGGTTATTCTGTCAGCCATAGATGCAAACCTCAAATAAAAACTTAATTAGTTCTATGGAGAACCAGCCTGTCGTGCAGACCCACCCCACTCACAGAGACCAAAGTCTAAGGCTGAGAGATGCTCAAGAGAGGCTTCTACTGCAGCATCTGCTTCTTTGTCTGCTTCCAGGAGACTGAGAACAGGGGTCACTGTAAGGTATCTGTGTTTAGTCAGCTTCAGTCACGGGAGTCACTCCACAGACCAGCAGGACACACATAGACACTCTCCAGTCCATTTCGGGCTCTGGTTCCTCTGCCCGCTGTTAGAGAGAGGAAACAGAGCATGCTCGGTGGAAAGGGGAGTAGGATACGGAAAGGGGAGTGGGATACGGTGGGTGTTTGGAGAGCGTTTGGGCTACAGGTGTCAGTTGGAAGTCATCATTGTAGATATTAGTTAGGACCACAGACATGAGGCAAGAGAGGCTAGAGAGAGGGTCCTGGGTGTGGTGCTTCATGGTCAGATCAGAGTCACCTAGGAGACACACATCTGGGTATTCCTGTGAGGGTCTTTCCAGGGACGTACACGATCCTGAGTGTGGATAGCGCCACGCCTTGGGGTGGGAGTCTGGACTGAGTATCTTCTTTTCATGACAAAGCCGGCTGAGCACCAGCATTCACATCTGCTTGCTGATGGCAGAGGCAATGTGACCGGCCACCTCATATTCCCAACACCACACAGTCCCAGCCATGATGGATGCAGCCCTTACATGGAGAACCAGGATTGAAAACCAAAACCAAATCCCTGCTTCCTCCCTTAGGTTGCCTTCAGGCGCTTTTTGTCAGAGCTAGGGGGAAAGTAACTCACACCCCAGATCTCCCCAGTTGCATGTGGCACCGGCCCACAATGGCTTGCAAGAGTTGGTTTGAGACATCTCAGCTCAGCTCCGGGCTCACTGACAGCTTGATGTCAGTCACAGCGGGGACATTTATGCCACAGACATTGGCAGATGTTACTAAGATAGAAGGATGTTATCTAGATAGAAGTTTGTTAAGCATTTCCCAGCATGACTCTGGATCCAGGGAGAGAGGAAAGGGAGAGGTCACAGAGTAGAATAGTCAGAGAAGGAGGTGACCAGATAACAGAGGCAAGAGGACACTGGAAAGGTGACAGGAATTCAGAAGTGTCACATGATGCAGGAGGCCTGGGGAGACGGAGTCTGGAGAGGCCTGGGTGTGGCCATGCCGGGGTTAATAGCAAACTGGACCTCAGAGGAAATGGGTGTGAGGATCCAAGTGGGTCATGGCGGCTGGAGTGACCAGGACCCTTAGCTAATCCTTTGGATACTGGGCTGGCTTAGAGGAGCAGAAGCCGTACCCTGCCATTCTGTTTTCCAGGCTGTTTCTCCATCCAAGGCCCAGCATCGGTGAGAGGCCCAGAGAATGGATCGGTGACCATTCGATGTCGCTATAGCTCAAGGTGGCAGATGTACAACAAGTATTGGTGCCGAGGAGCGGACTGGAGCACCTGCAGGGTCCTCATTCGAACCAGGGGATCAGAGAAAGAAAAGAAGAGTGGCCGGCTGTCCCTCAGGGACAACTGGAGGGACAACTCACTCCTGGTTACCATGGAGATGCTTACGCAAAATGACACAGACACATACTGGTGTGGTATTGAAAAGTTTGGAACTGACCGTGGGACCAGAATTAAAGTAACCGTTTACTCAGGTAAGCACTTCCCTGGGGGTACCACAGCGCTCTGGTGCTGGGGCTAAAAAGACTAAAAAGAAAAGGACTGAGAGTCTGGGAAGACAGACAGACAGACAGACAGACAGACAGACAGACAGACAGACAGACGGGACAGGGTGGTACCAGAAGTAAGGAAGAAAAGCAGGCCAACAATTGTCATGGATGCCAGCCCCTGAGGTCTCTCCGAGGAACCCAGCTGACACGCGTCCTGACTGGCAGATGTTGGTGTGGGGCTGAGACTTAGACATCTCCCTCTGAGACCCGTAGCCCAGCCCTGCTGCCCTGCTGTCCTGGAGCCACACAGCCCTGGAAACTCACATGCTTCCGCTGGAGTCTCGGATGCCTGGAGACGTCCTCAGCACAGCAGGCTGAGAAGTTTCTAGTTTTCCAAAACTTGGACCCTTCGCCTGTCAGTGCGTGGGACAGTGAGGGCGAGCTAAGACATCGTGGGAGAGGGCCCCAGCGTTGAAGCCCGGGACTAGCCAAACCACAGTGACTCTGGCCCCTTTGGAAGGCCTGAACGTTGCAGGTGACCACTTCTGCTTTTTCTGACTCCAGAAGAATAAGCATGGAGTAAGGGAGACCCAGGCTTGCAAGTGTTTAGTAAATGCTTTAAAGAAAAATGGAGGCTTTGACTACTAAATCAGAATCACAGTTGCCCCGGGTTCTCCTGACTTCTCCCTGCCTCAAACTCGGTGAGGGACTCCAGGATCTCCTGTTGGTGCCTGAAAAACAACCCTTCCTACTTCCACCCAACTAGTCATGCTCAAACCTTCCTCAGCCCGGCGGCCACGCCGGCTCCCGAGAAGACAGCAGCAAACAGTGTGCACTGGAACCAGTGAGAGAGATGCGGAAGTTGCCTCCCAGGGAAAGTAAGGTACAGAAAGGGTCACCCCCAAAAAAGATTTCCCCAGGGACACCACTCAGGGCAAGTTGGGAAGATCTGTGGGGACAGAAAGGATTTGAATAAGACATTTAGGCAGAAGACAGGGTAGCCAAAGATCGTGCTCAATGCTAAGCTTTAAGTGTCCAGGGGGACTGGGGACGCCAGCCTGCATGGTGATTGTGACCTCTTCAAGGACCGAAGCTGCCCAGAGTTCTGCTCAGCTTGCAAGTGTGATTAAAGCCCATAAAGAAGGGTGTTCTGGGTCAAGAGCTAGCCCAAAGGACAAGTGTAAGCCAAGGATGCTGGACTCAGGAATCCATGACCCAGCCACCCACTACAAGGCACCCCACAGTTTCCTCACTGTAACATTTCCTTCCTCGTAGTCATTCATGATTTAACTAGCATGTGCCTTCTTGCTCAGCAACCTCCAGGAGTCCCTCTGTCTCTCACCACCCTAGCCACTAGAAACTCATTTCTGAGGTCGTCTGTCCTAGAGTCTTACTCGGGTACTATTTGGATGGAAAGGAACAAAGAGACTATGGTGTGTCTCCTCCTCCAGAATACACTACAGTCTTTCTCCTCAATTTCTGTATCTATATGCATATTTTTGTTAATATCTCCTACTAATAAAAATGGATGAAGTGACTGTGTGGGGGTCAGGAGGTTCAACAGAAGCCAAAGGACTGTATCAAAGAGATAAGGCACCCTAATCCAGAGGAATAGTTTTATGTCTTGGCACAAACTAGAGTCGCTGAAGATGGATTCTCAATTGAGAAAATGCCTCCATGATATCGGGCTGTGGGCAGGCCTGTAGGTCATTTGCTTAATTGGTGATTGATGGGGGAGGGTCCATCTTACTGTGGGTGGTGCCATTTCTGGGTTCTACAAGAAAGTGGGATGAGTATCTGGAAAGATGGCTCAGCAGGTGAGAGCACTGGTTGCTCTTCCAGAGGACCCAGGTTCAATTCCCAGCACTTACATGGCAGCTCACAACTCTCTGTAACTCCAGCTCCATGGGGATCCAATGCCCTCACACGGACACACATGCAGGCAGAACACCGATGCACATGAAACTTTTTAAAAGAAAAGAAACTTTAAAAAAAGAAAAACCATTTTAAAAAGAAAGAAAGAAATCAGACTGAGCGAGTCACGGTTAGCAAACCAGTAAGCAGCTCCCCTCCATGGCCTCCGCGTCAGATTCTGCCTCCAGGTTCCTGTCCTGCCTGAGCTCCTGTCCTGGCTTCCTTCAGTGACTGACTGGGATGTGGAAGTGTGAGCCACATAAACCCTGTCCTCCCCAGCTTGTTTTGGTCATGGTGTTTGATCACAGCAATAGTGACCCTGACCAAGGCACCCAGTGAGAGCTGGTTGGCTGGGACGCCATCGTGAAGCATGTATGAACCACCCCCAATCTGTTCCCTAACCTATGGCCGTCTTCGCTTATGTCTAGAAGGAAAGGATACCATGTCTTCCAAGATGCTTTCTACTATGCCCACTATGGACAGCAATGCGTATGTGATGTCTTCTGACTTGCACAAGAGGTGAGTCCTGAGGTCCTTTCTCCATCCTCATCCCTGTGGGTCCCTCCTACGGGGATACCAAGCCCATGTTCTGTTGCCAGATGCCAATGATTGCCATAGCCAAGACCCACTATGGTCCCATTCCAGCCCCACCAAAAAGCTGCTCTGTAGAGCTGTCCATCACTACCCAGCCCTGGTGGCATTGTGGCAGCCAAGGGGACAGACATTCCCATAAGGTCCCAGTCCCATCACAGAAGCAGGGCAGGGAGAGAGATTTGCCAACCTGGAGCCAGTGTGAGGACAGAGTAAGCAGACACAACCCAGATATGGAAAACTCTAGATTTCTGCTGAGATAAGGGAAACTATGGGGGAAAAGAACCCCAGAAAATAAAATTAGGACAGAGGGACAGGCCACACGAAGACCACCTGGAGTCACTGAGGAGCCTTCCTGGCTGGGTGGACCTTGGGGAAGTTCCCTGGGGGATCTTCCGAGTAGGATGTGGGCCTTCAGTTTCAGGCTGTGATGAGTTGGCTATTGACTTCCCAGAGTTGGGGTGTGGGGCATAATGGTGCTCAGAGGCTTGGGACCCTGATGGCTGTGTCTTTCTCATAGGACTCACTACTTACTCCTGGTATTTGTGAAGGTGCCTGTCTTGCTCATCTTGGCTGGTGTTGTCCTCTGGCTGAAGGGGTCAACTCAGAAGGTCTCTGAGGAAGAGTGGAGACATACCTTCTGTAGCAATTTGGACTCAGAACTTACAGTCAAAGACATTGCTCCTTAGACTGCTTTGTAAGCAGAGCTTTCCCATTCTGGACTCTCACTCCAGAGACCACACCACGGAAGAAACATCTTTAAGTCCTCGGTGGGTAGTGACTGAGGCTGGTGCCCAGAGGGCTTGGCCAGGCATGATCTCCACTCTGCACACCATGGGGCCACCACTCAGGACCCCCTGAAGTGTCATCACACCTGAAGTACCAGTAACTCGCTCCCCCGTACGTCCTCACCTGCCCTATCCCATCTACCCACCACGGTCAGCCTGGGGTGAGAACTGCTGGAATGGAGCCCAAGCTGCAGAAAGACAGATGTGTGTCCCCTGCTGAGAAAGCTCCTGAGACAAAAACACGGAGAAGCAGAAGGGCATGTTAGATCCCTGTCATAGAGAGCTAGGGGAGGGTGGGGCAAGCAGGCGTCCATCCTCCGTCTGTCCCGGACACTGAGCCCACCCCTAGCATTCACCTTGGAGGAAAGGTGAAGAATAAAGCCCAGCTGACAGGCCCAGGGTCTGGAGTGTAGAGAACTCAGACACCCGTGACTCGGCCATGGAGCTGGGGCTGCATTTCCCAGCAGGTGTGTTTTGCTCCAAGGCCAGGAACAGAAGGTCACACACCCTTAAATAGAGCCGTGGCCTACACAGACTCATGGCATGCTGGTTTTAACCGAAGGTTAGCCAGGGGAGAGTAGCAGAGAGAGCCATGTGTCTCTTGACCTGGGTCCTCTGCAGAAAAAGTCCGGGTTATGGTAGCTCGTCAGAGTAACTGCCAACAGCACCAGCCAGGAAGGGGGAGACAGCGAGAATAATCCCTTATCGTAGGGTTCTTCTGCTTTTAACTGTGGTTAGGGGAAAAACAAAGGAGCCTAGCATGCCCTTTTCATGAAATTTCCAGTGCATAGCACAGAGTTGGTGTGTACAGTGCAAAGGCAGCAGATCTCTAGAACATTCAGACTCAGACTCTAAGCCCCACTGGGCAAAACCTCCACCAAGTCCTGGCTACCACCATTTCCCTTTTGTCCCCCATGAGTTTTGCTAATATACCTGGGTGGAACCTGGGTGCTATCCTGCGGTTGTTTCTTAGTTAGCATCGGGTCCCCAAGGATCCTCCATCTTCTAGCAGATGACAGAACTCCATTATGGCAAATGCTGAGTGAAATTCCACCGTGTGGACACGTGACTCATTTACTAACAGCCCTTTGTCTGTTATTACCTTGGCCTTTGAGGACAATGAGCCTGGGTGTGTTGGTATGGCGATAAGATGCTGTCTTCAGTTCTCTTGGATATAGTCGTGAGGGTTAACCTTGACTGTCAATTTGAGTCTCCTGTGAGATGCACCTCTAAGCTTTTCTATGAAGGTGCTCCCAAGGAGGTTTAACTGAGGAGGGATGGCCCACCCTGACATGGGCATTCACCATCCCATAGCCTGGGGTCTCAGAGTGAATAAAAAACGAGGAAAGGAAGAAATCAAAGCGAGCACCAGTTGGTTCTCTCTCTCTCCTTCCTGAGGATGAAGTATGACTATGAAGCTCATGATTTGGCCACTACAGCCAGATCTACTCCTGCTGCTGTGCCTTCCCCAACATGATGAACTGTAGCCCTTCAAACCGTGAGCCAAAATAAATCCTCCCTTCCTCACAGCATGGAGACAAGTAACTAGCATGTGTACCAAAGAATACTATTGCTGGGCCATGTGACAATTGTTCTTTGTCATCCCCCCCAAAAAAGTTCTTTTTTAAAAAAACTGTAACTTTTATTCATTAATTATGTGCATTTCTGTGTGGCTTTGCGTCTATGAGAGCAGTGCTTGTAGAGGCCATAAGAGGGCATCAGATTCCCTGGGACTAGAATGACAGATGGCACTGAACTGCCTGATGTAGATGCTGGACATCCAATCTGGGTCCTCCGCAAGAGCAATGGGTTTGATTAACTGCTGATCTGTTGCCCCAGCTCCTTTTCGTTCAATTTTTAGTCAGATCATTTCTCTACATACTCCAGATATAATGTCTCTTCAAATATATTATTTTCAAACACTCTCTCCCATTCTATGACTATTCTGATATTCTACTGAGAGTGCAGCTCTTTTTGTCAGAGATGGAGAGAATGGATAATTTATGGCGGGGGAAAAAACGTGACTTAAAACCTCCTGGCTTCAAGAAGTAGATAGAGAATTTCACTTTTTATAAGAAGATTATAGTGGCCAGGTATGATGGCACATGCCTGCACTCGGGAGGCAGAGCAGGCAGATCTCTGTAAGTTCGAGGCCAGCCTGGTCTGCAGAGCTACACAGAGAAACCCTGTCTCCAAAGACCAAAAAAATTAATAAATCCCAGCACTCAGAAGGCAGAGGCAGACTCTGTGATTTCAAGGCCAGCCTGGTCTACAGAGTGAGTTCCAGAACAGCAAAGGCTGTTACACAGAGAAACCCTGTCTTGAAAAGACCAGAAAAGAAAAAAGATTAAGCCATATATACCTGCATATAAAAAATAGACTGTCACATACCAAACTATCAATGTTATTTTTGTTAAGTGAATAAATATTCTTCCCTTTACTTTTGTGAATTTGTTTGTTTATACTAAAGTCTCAAATATCCCAGGCTGCCCTTGAATTTATTATGTAGCTGAGGATGACCTTGAACTCATGCATGATCCTCCTGCTTCTACTTCACAACTGCTGGAATTATAGGTATGCACCTTCACAGGCAGTTTTGTGTGGTGCTGGGGATCCAACTCAGGCAAACACTCTACCAACTAAGCTACATTCCAACCTGCTTTCCAATTAAAGTTTAAAATCTTTTTGCTTTTCGAAAATCTCATGTATACAAGGTATTGTCACATCCATCTCCACCACTGTCTCTCATCGTCATCTCAATCTTGTTAACCCCCCTCTTCTCAGCTAGTCTCCCTGCTTTCATGAAACAGCAGCTATGTGGTCACAATTGCAACATTCCTTCCAACCATTGTTGTGGCATATTACTTTAACTATGGGAAGGTGTGTCTCATTTGTTTATGTTTCATTTGTTGTGGAACTATGTCAAAGGTGTGTTGCATTTGTTTCTGCTGTGGAGTATTACTTTAACTATGGGAAGATGTGTTACATTTGTTTATGTTGTAGAACATTACTTTAACTATGTCAAAGGTGTGTTGCATTTGTTTAGGTTGCGTTTGTTTAAGAGGTATAGATGTGTTACATTTGTTTATGTTGTAGAACATTACTTTAACTATGTCAAAGGTGTGTTGCATTTGTTTATGTTGCGTTTGTTTAAGAGGTACAGATGTGTTACATTTGTTTCACCTTGTCTGCCTAAGACACCTAATTGGTCTAATAAAAAGCTGAACGGCCAATAACCAGGCAGTAGAGGGTTAGGTGGGGCTGGCAGGCAGAGAGAATAAGAAGAGGAATCAAGGCTCAAGAGGGAGGAGAACCAGAGAGAAAGAGAGGGAGAGGCCCGGGGCGGCCCAGGACGAGTCAGCCGGGGAGACACAGAGGAAGCAGGAAAGTAGGACATACGGAATGAAGAAAGGTAAAAAGTCCCAAGACAAAATGTAGAGAAAGAGAAAGAGGTCAAAATAAGTTATAAGAGCTAGTGGAGCAAGCCTAAACTAAAGCTGAGCCCATTCATAACTAATAAGTCTCCATGTCATGGTTTGGGGGCTGGTAGTCTAGAAAGTAAGCTACAGAGCATTCTTCAGTGTTCTCTGGGCCTTGGAGAGGGGTGATACAGATGTCGTGTTTAAGGATGAGCACCCACAGTCACTTATTCTCAGCACTTTGACCCATTATGAGTTTCCTTTTCTCTGACCAAGGCCAAGAGCTGCACCAGTCTACAGGCATGAACACAAACATTTAGAAAACAGTTTGACTCTGTGTCCCTTTGGCAAAATAGCAGGGTAGTTTTGATCAAGTTTACAGTGCTAGGCTTTCACTATCTCCCATGGAGTGGCTTCAGATTCAAGCAGAAAGCGGTTGTTTACCCCCAAAAACAACAATGCCACGTTGGCACCAGTGAGTGTATCTTGCCTGGCAGGTTGCTATTGAAATATTTAGGGTCCACATTCAGGTAGGACCACTGACCTTACCACTTGGTAAAGCTCCCCTAAAGTGCCTACATTGCGTGCTCCTGTTCTATTAGCTTCCAAGGAGAAGTTTCCCACTCAGTTCCAGCTTAATTCCTCTGTGTCCTGTAACCACACTGTATGATATCTTCGGCAACAGAGTAATATGTGTGTGTGTGTGTGTGTGTGTGTGTGTGTGTGTGTGTGTGTGTTGCCTACATATATGTACACATGCCACATGCATGCCTGGTGTCACAGAAGCAAAAAGTGGGTACTATATCCCCTAAAATTGGAACCACAGATGGTTCTGAGCTGCCATATGGTGCTGGGAATTGAATCCAGGTTTTCTACAAGAGCAGCCAGTGCTCTTAACCACTGAGCCATCTCACTAGCCCCCAATTATACTTTTAAACATTCTCACTTTGCTCACATTTCTACTTTGCTCATAGGTAGGCAGTTTTGAATCTTACATTTGGCTCCCCTCCTAGAAAGGTCGCAGCCTTCTGTCTCTCCCCGTTCCATAGACCATCTTCCAGCCCTTGTCTCCTTGTCTCAGGGCATCCACCACTTCCCCTATGCCCTCACTGTTAGCTACACAGAAGTGTAAGCTGGTTTATTCGACCCTCATGGGTGGACTGTTGCAAGTTCCTTCCTGTTTCTGCCTGTCACCTCATCATTATCTTTATCCTAACACTGGTTCCTCCTGGTTCCCAGGAACTACATAGCATGCAGTCATCACACTCGCCCAAGTGAGATAAACCATCTCTTCTAGAACATTCCAAGAGGCCCTCTTTCCATGCCTCTCTTGAAATTTCCTTGTCTGGTTCAGATTCATGGAATTACCCTTAAACCAACCAATGACAAGATGATTGGGAACTCCTTGCAATTGGGGTATAACTCTCTGCCAATTCATACTCCAACAAAACATCACTGTCTTAGCGTGCGTGACAGGTGGGCAGGACACCGCTCTACAAACGTCACTCTGTTCCTGGACTTCTCATGTGCTGCCCAGGTCCTGCCCCTTACTGTGTGAACACAGCAGCTCCTTGCTCTCTCGTCCTATCTCAACAGAGAGACCCGATTACACACGAAAGCATTCCTTCTCCTGTACACACCTGGTAGTCAGGTTGTGAATGACATTTTGTGACTGAGTTCTCTGTAGGATGCTGCCTTGGAAATCTGACCTCTCCTCGGCCTGTCAGCTCAGTCTCTTCCAGGACAAGGCACCTCTCCTCTTTGCAACAGAAGGTTCCATGAGGACACGGGCTTCTCACAGCTGAGTGACCATTGCTTTGCAGATGCTTGAGACAAACCCAATCGTCATATTCCTGCCAAACAATCAGTCAATATTGAGACTTTATTTAGCTGACAAATTTTCCCTTAAATCTATTTGTCAGGGAACAACTGTCTCTCCAGTGTTAACGTGGGTCTCTCTGATTCTGGGGAGGGTAAGTCTTAATTTTAGGTTACTCTCAGATGGCACAAGACATCAGAAGATGGAACGCTGCTGGCCCAGGCTTGGGAGAAAGAAGCGGCAGAAATCCTACAAGTCATAGCTCAGAGTCCCTGTCAAGAGGTCCCTGCATATGGCTGTGGCACCCAGGGTGACCCTTTGACAGAGCTCCATCTTGGACATAATTAATCTTAGCCATCAGTCATAGCCATGTATCTGGGTGATCAGAGATTCAACAAGATGTCACCTGCCATCAACCCTTTCATTTACGTAGGAGAGTGAATGCTCTGATGTGTGTCTTCCAATGACCCATTTGGTGATAGCCCTGCTGTGAGCCGCTGGCATGCTACTGTCTGCTTCTCACAGCAACTAACCCTGGAAAATGCCCAGTGACTAGTCTTGCTGGGATGACAAATAATCAACACTGTCCTCCATCAGACACACGGAGCCGCCACCCAGCATGGGACACCAAAGATCTCTGAATACCGTTTCAATTGATCCCACAGAGCAACTACGGGAAGAAGAGGTCCAGCGCAAAGTGTTCTCCACGCACCTAAAAGACACATGGAACCTTCCTTGAAGACTCTGTGGGGGACACTTTCCTGACCACAAAGAGAGGATAGGCTGGCCAGAGACAGTATGAAGCTGTGACCTGGAATGGAGGGATGGGTACAAGGTGGAGGACAGTGGGCTTGGTGGAGCATGCAGAGGAAGCCACGTGCATTCTGCTTATGGTGGCACCAAGGTGTCTTTCTGCTTCTAGGACATTCCCTCCCATCTCACAGTAGCAGGGCTAGGGTTACAGATGTGCACCACTGCGTCCAGCTTTCACCGTCTCTGGGGATTAAACTCAAAACAGTGCCAAACGCCTCTGCCCCTGTGAGTCATCCTGCTTGCTCCGGGCTTTTCTTGGCCCGTTTCTACAAGGGCACGTGAGCTCTCTGCATGGCAGCCACCACCACAAGTTTGTTGTTGGAGACCAGCAGTGGGAGGAAGAGGAAGCTGTGGAGAGGAAAGCTTGTTTACCCTCTGCACTTCCCCATCCCTGAGGTCATGGCAGCATCTGGAGTCTTACCGTTAATAGATAGATGCTAAATGAAGGACAGAGAGAGTGCTGGGAATGGAGGCACAACCTGAGATCGGGAGCCCGAGGGAAGGACGTGTTGTTGAAGGGTTTCCTTTATTTTTCGTTTGTTTGTTTTTTGAAACAGCGCCTCGCTCTTTAGGCCTGGCTGACCTCAGACTTGCAGCAATCC